AAAAAAAAAGATACACAGCCACAGAACCTCCCCCATTTCTTGACAGCATGTGACTCAAAGCAAATCCTTGCTTCCTTAAACCTCCCTCCAAATTACCTAACACAGATCCCAGTTCCATAACCAGGCCTTTCTAACACTCCCCTTCTGAGAGGCTCCCACAGCTCCCCGGGATGTGCAGCCTCTCATGCTAGAACAATCAAGAAACCCAAGTTGTTCCACTACAGATGCATTCCTAGGAGTCTCTGGCTCATGGGCATGGCAAAGGCAATCACAAATTGTGCCCTTGGGATGCCAAGTCTCTCATGCACTTTCCATCACTGACCCATCCCCACTGCCACCCTATTGCCACCACCAAAAAGGGACAAGCAGTCTGATATTTCTGCAAAGACAACTGCATATCAAAGTCCCATCCATCTGGATTTCCCTGGATCTTTCTCCAAGAGTTTAGGGCAGAATGGAGACAGAACACCTAAAACGGTGCCTCGCACATAGTAGGCTCAATAAAAATGTGTTGGAGTGAAGGAATAAATCAAAGTCACTCAGACAACAAATCCTTGAGGATCGCAGCTCTTTAAGAACTTTCATGAGGAAACAAGAATTTCTAAAGAGTAAGCAGTTGATGCTTATCCTTCCAAACATTTTTGGTGGCAATTGGTGGCACTAGAGACTTTGTCCCTCCAGATCCAGTCTCTACCACCCTCCATCCTGCTCTGTACCACAGGATGTGACCTTTATGAATTGAATCAGCTAGGTCCCCTGGTCCTTTGGCATCTGGGTTCAGCAAGTGGAAGTGACCAGCAGATCAGAGAACACGAGAGAGAGTCCAGGCAATTGGACTGCCTGCATCCCCCTACCTAAACCAGCCCATCAAGCAGCCCTTTCCTGCAGCCCTCCCCGGGTCCAAGAACCAGTATCTGTTTCCTTTTCCTTCAGGCTAGGGTGTATCCACATTGATGCTAGTTTTAATACCTCACCACCCCAACCCTACCCACACCTTTGGGAATAGCCTCTTCCTTAAACTTTCTTCAGTGACCCCATATATGTCCTATCTTTCATGCTGAAATGAATGTGACTGACCCAGGTGGCTTCAGCAGTCTCTCACTCATACCAACCTGAGCTTCCCAAATGGTCTTAGAGAATGAGGGGGTGGCTGCAGTGGGTACAGCCTGACTAATTAATCTCTAGGACAGAGGGGACCCCTTGAGCCCCAATCCAGCAGGATGCCAGCTCTGGCTTGGAGGAACTATTGATCAGAAAGCAGGAGAAAGGCAGAGAGAACTGAGACTCTTTTCCAGAACATAGGATTGCAGCAGCTTTGTTTTTCAAACCCCAAATCAGGGCTAGTTAGCAGAGAGGATTTGTGGGGACAATGGGGAGAAAACATTTAACACGAGGCCTCCTCAGAGAAACCTGAGCATCTGGCTGGTCCCTCACCTGTGGTGGCCAGGAGATGCTGTGGGCTGCTGGAAACATCTTTCTTCACGTTGCGCAGGGTGACTATGTACCTGGTTCCAGGCAGCAAACCCAGAATCTCGTAGCTGTTCTGCTCCTTGGGCACTTGGATCTGCTTCCCGGAGAGCTCCTTCCCCAGGGGGTAGTAGCTGAGGAGGTAGTGGTCCACCTCACTGGACGGTTCCCAGCTCACCAGCAGGGAATCCTCCGTGCTCTTGAGCAGCTGCAGGCCCTGGGGGGCGACCACTGTGGGCAGAAGGGGATGAGGGAGCGAGGGAGGCAGTAGAGTGGGTCCCCCCACTGAGCATTCACTCCGCACCTGCCCTCTACTTAACACTATGATGGCTGGGGGGGGATGCAGGCCTGTGTCAGGCACCATGCATGATCCCCCAGAACTTATTATCTGGTATGAAATTGATAAATACACGCTCGCACACATAGCCTTTAGATCGCGAGACCAGTGGTCCCCAAAGGAGCATTAGCATCACTGGGAAACCTGTTAGAAATGCAAATTCTTGAGCCCCACGCCAGAATCAGAAACTTGGGGGTGCGGCTCAGTAATCTGTATTTTTACAAGCCCTCCGGGGTACTCTGATGTAGGCCAAAGGAGGAGACCTCCAAATAGGACAGTGTGAATTGACGGTTCCAGGGTGCAGGGAAAGACGCGAGGAGGGTGCTTCTCTGCTCTCACCCTGGGCGCAGTCGAGGCCCGTGAAGCCCTCCTCACAGTAACACTCGCCGGTGTCGCAGAAGCCGTGACCGCTGCAGTCGCCGGGGCAGCGCCGCTCGCTGCAGTCCTCCGACGTGAAGTTCTCGTGGCACCGGCAGACGCCGCGCACGCACACGCCGTGGCCGCTGCAGTTCTCGGGGCAGGCGGGGTAGGCGCAGTCGGCGCCCACGAAAGGCTCGTCGCACAGGCAGCGCCCGTCCTCGCAGCGCCCGTGGCCACTGCACGCCCCGGGACAGGCGGGCTGCTCGCAGGCGGCGCCCTCCCAGCCCTGCTCGCAGTGGCAGCTGCAGGTCACCAGGGAGAAAGTCCCATGGCCGCTGCAGTGACGGCTCAGATCTGGGAGGGAAAGGAGAACAGTAGAAGGGGGCTCAGGGGAATTCCCCTGCCTGGGGAATCTCCTTCCTTGGGGACCCAGGAGCGGGCTGGTGGTTTCTGGGTCTTGCCTGGCTCTTTCTTAGGAGTATGGTGGGGCTCCAGGAGGGTGCCAGCCTTTTGTAACCTGGGCCAGACTCAGACCTGCAGACTTCACACTTTCCCAACTTTCCCTACTTGGAAAACTGCACGAACCACCCTCTTCCCTCTCCGTTCCCATATGAATTTCCCTCTCACTGGTGGTCATTTTTTTAGTGCCTTTTTATGACTGGGACTTAAATGTTCTACCCGACATCGTCACAGGGTTAGCTAGGGGAGGCAGGTGAGATCTAGGCAGGATGGAGTTTGTCTTATCATGGTGGGGTGGGGGGCCGCTATGCCTGGACCCAGCAAGGCTGAGACCTTGTGAAATGAGTTCAAATGAAATCTGGAAAAGTGGAACTACAGAAGCTAAGAAATAGCCCAGTCCCAGTTCCAGACGTGAGAGGTGAGAGAAAGGATTTAACCAGGCTCCCCTCTCTGGCCCTGCACGGTGAGAGGCAGCCAGAGAGCAGAACAGCCAGAGCTCTCTCTTCCTTGGCCACAACTCCTGCTTTTTGTTTCCTAAAAACACTTGCAAAGTGGAGGCTCCTCAGAGGCGATTCCATGCTAGATACTCGTGGCAGTGTCCCTGGTGCCTTGTTCTGTGTCTGGCATACTGGAGATGCTCTTAACCACAGCAATGTTTTGGAACATGAAAACCTATGCAAACTCCCATTCATTATTATTGGATTAGGCTGGGCAGTTTGTGTTTTAAAAGGTGAGGCATTTTACCTCATTATTAGTACAATTAAATTGTAGTACTTTACTACTAATAAAAATAATTACAGTTTGCTGAATATTTACTGTTGGCCAGGAATCTTCTATACCTTACCTCTAGCTCTCAGAATTGTACTAGATGGTAGAATTATCCTTACTGGAAAACTGAGGAAATGTAAGGGTAATTGTCCAAAGTCACACAGCCAAAAAGTGGCAGAACTGAGATCTGAACCCAGTTCTGTCCAGCGCAGAGACCCTCTATCTCCTCTATATCCCATTGTTTTTCCCCTTCCCTAGCTGCATCAGCATCACCTGGAAACCTGTTAAAAATGCAAATTCTTACACCTCCCTCCTTTGAGTAGAGATTGAGTCCACAGGTAAGACAGTCCCTGGAAGCAGTACCATCTGCAAACATTAGTCTAGGAGTCTCGACTCTCTTCAGGAGCCCCTGGTCCCTTCCTGATCAAGCTTATTGATGACCTCTGGAGGCACTACCAATGAGTACATGAATAAATAGGCAAGTATATGGCCCCTAGAGAAAACCCAGAGTGAGAGGTGAGAGTACACCAAGCTCACGGTGCTCCTGAGGCTGGTGGAAGACCTGGCACGTAGTAAGTGCTCATCGAATGTGTGTCAGGTGGTAAGCTCACCGGCAGCTCCCTGGCAGCATCGCTGGGCACTACACTGCTCCCTCATCTCTGCCATCTCCTCCTCCAGCTTCTTCACCCGAGCCAGGAAGTCCTGGACACTGCCTGCCAGCTCACAGTCCTTCTGCGGTGTCTGCAGGCGGATGTTGTGCCTGAAGACGATGTTCTGTTCCTCCCCAGCCTCCTCCAGAGCCAAGAGGGAAGCCCCATTGTCACGGAGGTGCTGAGGGTCGGCCTCCACCTGGACCAGGGCAGACTTGGGCACGTCGATCTTGTAGGTATGGCTGACGGTGACCTGTTGCTCCTTGTTGCTGCAGCCGGGAGGCTCCAGAGTGGCCGGGGCTGAAGCCACGAGGAGCACAGAGCCGAGCAGGAGCCCCAAGGGGGAGTGGAACAACCCCTGGAGACTCATTCTTGGAAAGATGGAAGACAACCCTCTGGGAAGCCTGTATGCAGAAAAACATGCAAAAAAAGACCATGGAGGTTTGTGGAGGAACATTGGCCTTTCCTTCCTTTCTTCCTTCCTTCTTTTCTTTCTTTTTTGAAACAGAGTCTCCCTCTATCCCCCTGGGTAGAGTGATATGGCATCATCATAGCTCAATAGCTCACAGCAACCCCAAAGTCTTGGGCTCAAGTGATCCTCTTCTCTCAGTCTCCGGAGTAGCTGGGACTACAGGTGCCCACTACAAAGTTCTTCTATTTTTAGTAGAGAGAGGGTCTCACTTTTGCTCAAGCTAATCTAAAACCCCTAAGTTTAAGCAATCCACCTACCTAGGCATCCCAGAGTACTAGGATTATAGGTGTGAGTCACTGTGCCCAACCCAGAAATTGGCTTTTCCAACAAATTCTGAGAGTCCACAGGAAGCTGAGAAACCAGTAGAAAGAATTCATCCTGTTTCTCCTGAGGATCCCAACTGAATTATTTTCTGTTGCTTCTTCACACATCCCTCCTGTCTTTGCTTACACTTAGGTTCACACTGCCTAAGATGCTTTTCTCTTCACTTCTTTTTTTTTTTTTT